AAAAAAAAAAAAATGAAATAGAAAGAAAGCATATATAAATATAGATATCTCAACTTTTAAATGCATGGGAAGCTTCGCTTCCACCGACACCAATTTATTTCAATTCTTACTATAATAATATTATGCACTTTTGTGATTCGGCCAGGAGGTTGGCTCGGGACCAGCTTTTCTATTGTCCATTCGAACTCTCAATTTAACCGGTCGAGACTCTCGACTTTTTTAATACATTTAACGATAAAAAAAAAAAAAAATTGTGTATATATGTTATTGACAATAAAAAATTATATTAAACATTTGTGACTCCAAATTTATATGTTGAATTTTGAAAGATTTATTTTTGCTATTTATTATATATGTGTATGTATATTTAAAGTCAATTAGTCAGTTAATCTTTAATTAATTTGACTATCTTGGTGGTCCAAGTTAGTTTGAAAACGCTTGTGTACCGATGTACATATATTAACGGCTACTATTTGATAGGGTACTATGGTCCATGGACCCACAACACACAATAATTACACCTAACCAAATACAAATTGGTTTTGCTCTATATAGACACACAGTATAGCCTCGTTAAGGTAATTATTTATTACCCGTCCCTTTATTACTAGTCATCACCGATGTTTTTGAGCATGTTTGTTTATGGAATTTTTTTTAAAAAAAATTAAATTTTAACTTAACTACTTTTTTTAACTCAAATTTAACTCAACCTCACTATCATCAATATTATTAATATAATTAAATAATATCAATCAATCATTCATACACACTACATCAACCTTAATTCACTATTCATCCACTCACATTATATATTAACTAACCATCACTTCAACCATCTCTCTCTTACTTTTATATCAAATTAATTTTAATTATTTTATTTTAAATATTATTTTAATATATCCACTAACAACTAACCATATAACTTATTAAAAAAATTAATCAAACCAAAACCAAAAATCCAAACAAACAAAAATTTCCATAAACAAACATGCTCTTTGCCCTTCACTACTCTCTCTCTCTACTATTTCTCTCTCGTCTCTCTCTCGATTTTCTACGGCTCTTTTGACCGTAAAATTTTTTTCAAAAAAATGCAAAAAAAATACCATGACATTAGTAAGACATTGAAAATTGACCATGTATTTTTTTTTTACTTTGTAAATATTTTTTTAATTTTTTTTTTGGCACGTCCTACAGGCGAGGTCGGACGCGCACGGTGGCGTCCGGCCTCGCCGGCAGGACGCACCAAAAACTTAAAAAATAAAAAAAAAAAATTATTTACAAAGTAAAAAAAAATACATGGTCAATCTTCAATGTCTTGCTGATGTCATGGTATTTTTTTGGTATTTTTTCGATTTTGTTTTTACTGTCAAAAGAGTCGTATAAAATCGAGAGGAAAAGAGTAGAGAGAGAGAGAGAGTAGAGAGAGAGTAATGAGGGGAAAAAACGTAATTGGGGGGCCGGTGAATAACAATTCAATTTCTAAACTGCATGTCACCCTCGTTTATTACCAAAAATGTGATTTCATTTGTTATTGATTATTGTCGTGTAGTTTTTTATTTTTTATTTTAATTAGCATATACATGTACATATTCACGAGGGATGATAAAAAATTCGACAACTACAGTGTAGTCATCGGTAGGTTGAATTGCGATCCTCTCTAAAATTTTATCGATACTTATTATTCAATTCAATTATTTTTTTTTCCGGGTTTTGTTGATCTATTATTGAAATAATATGTATAGTTATAATATATTGAAATGATTGATAGTATATGGAAATGATTTTATCACAATCTTTTAAGCATAAATCTTAAGGTGCTTGGAAGCAACATTCAATTAGAAAAGCGGTTATCAACTTTATAAGGTCCTGAGCGAAATATGTTAAATGTTACATTTATTTAATTTTAATATTTTCTATAAGTTTCTAAAAAAAAACATAATGTTACTAGCTATAATAAAAGTCATAAATTTTAAAGTATAATTATAGCTAAAAAATAACAAATGAAAAGGAGAGAGATCATATATATTTATTTAAATACACTCCCAACACATATGTATATATTCAAACTAATACCACGTTTTGAAAAAAAATAACATAAACAAAAATATTGTATTTCACAATATGTATGCGCTTTTTTATAAGATGTATGACGAGGCCTGTATAATTGTTAGTTTGATTTGCAAAAAATAAAAAACGTGTATAATATGTTTCTAATTAATAAATTATTACATTCATTTTTATTTGTACTTAGTTCAACAAAAAGAATCGAATGAACATGTTTTGAAATGGAAAAACGAAATCACATGGAAATTAAATCAAGTTTAAGCGTGATAATTTATGATTTAAGTTGATCTATGCAGCGCTAGATAGATGCCTACTTGATATTGATTGACGGAAACAAATTCCCATTTTCATGTTGAGGCCCAATTATTCCTGTTTCCCTTGAAATTTGAGTGTGTCCCAACTCTAGACCAATTTGGGCCGTAATTATTGTATGGTTCACTAACGAACCCTAATAGAAATCAAATTTAATGATTATGTCTTGGCGGCTTTAGGTTGGATACCGCGGGAAAGTACAGTTTAAATATATTTAAAATGGGCGGTCTTTTTATTTAATTCACCCGCCATTAAATTCCCCCAATATAAAAAAGCACGAAATCAGGCTCACACAACTTCCCCAAAATACCCCCACACACTCTCACTCTTTTGCCGCACACAGAAATCCATCTTTTTTTTGCCTCCGTCGTTATGGAGAACAAGGACGATAACTCCGGCCGTCGCCACGGCGAGAGGCAGTCGCCGACGCAGCGGAGCTTGAAGAGAAAGCTCGACGAGGATGTGGACGGCGATCGGTCGCATCAGGATTCTTGTCCAGATGCTGTTTGCGAAGTTCGTTCTCAAGTCGAGATCCTTGATTCTGTTCCCTCAGGGAAAGATCGGCTGGCAGTGAAAAAGGCTATCGATGTTCTGTCCGGCCTCGCCAGTAATGGTAAATGACAAAACAGAAGCATTGAAGGNTTTTTTTTTTAAATATCATTTGTTGTGAATTTGTTGTTTTTGCTCGGGCGCGGTTTCCGTTTCTGTGTGCGTGTGTTGGGGTCTGTTGGGGTATCCTGCATGGGTGAATTTTGTGGATATTGTCAATGGACAACACACTATTATTTTCTTCTGATATCATTCAGTCAATTTACCTTTGATGGTTGTTCTTTTTTTCTCTTTAAGTATATGCATTGAATTTGTGACTGCAGAAGAGATGGTGGATATGATTGTGGATTGTGGGGCAGTTCCAGCTCTGATCAGACATCTGCAGAGTCCACGGCCGTCCGTGGAGAAAGATGTTGGCCTTTTGGCGTACGAGCATGAAGTGGAGAAAGCAAGCGCGCTCACACTTGGACTTCTTGCCATTAAAGTAATTGCAGTACCTGAGAGATATTTTCTTTATTCTTCATAGCTGGATTAATAATAAAAAGTGATGTGAATGTGTTAAATCGATTATAACCTTGGTAATTAAATTATTGTATGTGATTGAAATGAAACTGAGAAACACGTACTTGGTAAAAGGATTGATTTTGTTTTTTCTCTCTGTGAACTTTCTCTCAATTTCATATTTTGCCGATACAGCTTAATTTTTCTCTCGCATTAAAATGCCTAGCTACCTAAGTAAGACCCCGAGCTAGAAATATCTCTGTCTTGGTAACTTGTTGTAGGTTGAATATCTTTCTTGTCTTGTGTCAGTGACATTTAGTTTGTTTCACAGCTCGAGCATCAGCAGCACATTGTTGATGCGGGTGCTCTGCCCTATCTTGTGGATCTTTTGAAGAGATTTAGATGCCGTTCAGAATCTCGGGCAATAAGTGGTGTTATTAAGGAAGCAGCTGATGCCATCACAAACCTTGCTCAGGAGAATGGCAACATTAAAAACTGTGTTAGGTTATATATTTTTTTTTAATATATTGATCATTGAATACACATTCTCTGTTTTTATTTTAACCTTAACGTTTATGTGCACAGAGTTGAGGGTGGCATCCCACTTCTGGTTGGATTGCTTGAATTTGCTGACTCAGAGGTGCAAAACGCTGCAGCTGGAGCCCTTCGAACCCTTGCTTTTAAAAATAATGAGAACAAAAATCAGGTTTTTATCTTCTTTCTCCAGCGCCCCTTGTTCGAGCCAAATAGTACTTATGATGTATATGCTTAGTTTCACATTACATTTATTTCATGTTGAAACTTATTCAGATTGTGGAATGCAATGCTCTGCCGACTCTTATACTAATGATGCATTCAGAGGATACTGCTATACATTATGAAGTGGTAGATAATTTTTATGTTTTATCAGTTTATATGTTTTCACATCTACTCACAGGATTTCTACATGATCCTTTCATTATTATTTTTATATTCTTATGTTATTAATGTTGGCGATGAAGGTTGGGCTCATTGGGAATTTGGTCCACTCATCTCCAAACATCAAGAGAGAAGTTCTTGCTGCTGGAGCTTTGCAACCTGTCATTGCACTACTCAGGTATGATTGGTATGAGTACGTGTGTTGTTACTTTCTCTTAACTGGTACATGTTATAACTGTTGACCCACTTATGTCCTTATTTATCCTTTTGTTGCACCCCCATTTTCTCAGAAATATAAGAACGATTTTTCTTTTTTCTTTTTTTTTTTTTNTTTGTAATATTTGTGTGTTGTCAAGTGCAACTTCTGCCACCTGTTTTTTTTGCCTTCTTTGATGTGTTAACTGATGTCTATGATAACAGCTCCTCCTGTTCTGAGATCCAAAGAGAAGCTGCTTTGTTGATTGGACAATTTGCTGCAACAGATTCAGACTGTAAGGTTGGCCTTCTTTAACATTTTGAAACCATGGCTTAACAATTAAACTAATTAGCTGTCTTATCTTAGCCTGTGTTGATTAATTTTGAAATGATGCTTCTGCAGGTGCACATAGTTCAAAGAGGTGCTTTGCCGCCACTAGTGGAAATGCTCCAATCACCTGATAATCAATTGAAGGAAATGTCAGTCTTTGCCCTGGGGAGGTTAGCACAGGTACAATACGCTGTTCTTTTTATTTTGGTTGTTTATTCTCATGACTTAGGTCCTATTCTTCCTAGATCCTATGGCTTTATTAATGTTAATCAACTGTCAGTGCAAATTTATAATTTGCTTTTTTGCTAAAATTATTTTTCATGCACACGCAGGATACCCACAATCAAGTTGGTATGGTGCAAAGTGGTGCAATAGTGCCCTTACTGGAGCTTCTTGAGTCCAAAATTGTATTTCTCCAACACAATGCTGCATTTGTTCTTTTTGGGCTTGCGGAGAATGAAGTACTGGAAGACTATTTCTTTTCTTCTTCTAAATTACTCTTTTTAATTTTTACTTAGTAATTGGGAAAAAATGTTTTATTTGCTGAGCTTCATTCTGATGTTTCTCTTCTGTTTTTTGTTTCTTTTGCTTTGCTATAGGATAATGTTGCAGATCTAGTTAGATTGGGAGTTGTTCAGAAACTTCAAGATGGTGAATTTATTGTCCAAGTACGCTCTCCTACTTTTCAGTTGGATAATTATCATTATTTGATTGATCAAGTGATGTTCTATCTCATAATTATCATGTGATTTACTTCTAATATCCTTTTGCTACAGGCTACTAAAGATTGCGTAGTCCAAACATTGCAGAGACTTGAAGAGAAGATTCATGGAAGGGTGAGTTACAGACATTAATTCTCAAAATCATATCTAGCTCCCTGGTTTTACTCTTTTTGCAAAATTTTGACGTAATGTATCTGAATTTTTTGAATGCATTAATAGAACGTCAGTAGCTAATGAAGTTGTGAAATTGTGAAGTTGATAAGTTTTTTATGCTTTGCTCTATTGTTTCTGGCAGAGGTCTTGAACCTAACTTTGTTTNATTGCGACATTTATTGTACATAATGCGTGTTGGAGATAAAATTGTTAAGAGCCATGTAGCTTTGGCTCTAGCGCACCTTTGTTCATCAGATGACCAGAGGTCCATCTTCATTGATAACAATGGTATGCTGTTTCCCTTAATATCACATATATATACATTCTTTCTGTAGTGTACAACTCACCTGATCCACCAATGACATGATTGTGACAGGACTAGATTTGCTTCTGGAGCTCCTTGTGTCAACCAACTCAAAACATCAAAGAGATAGTTCTATGGCTTTATGCAGATTAGCTAATAAATCCAAGTCACTCTCTCCAATTGATACAGCTCCCCCTTCCCCAATTCCTCAGGTGATAATCCTGAATGTGGATTGAAATTGTCTGGTCATACTGTGATATCGTGTGGTCGACTACTTCACATTTAAAGTAGAAATGCAATGGTGAATTTTGTTGAATTAAAACTCTTGTCAGCTCCTCACTCGTTAGAATTTGCTTATGTTGCTCTGAAGAACTTGTGGTCCTTCTTGGTTTAAAGTGTGGATTAAAGCACACGTCTTCATTTATGAAAGATAATATTCTTCGTTATTGTTACGTGCGCTTCTCTGTTTAGGAAACTGAAATTATGTGAAACCATGTGTGCATTGGTGGAAGCCAATATATCTTTCTACTTGTTCTGAGTAAAACAACCATTAATGTCATCTCGGCGATCTTTCCATAAGCTTGCCATTGACTTAAGTTATGTACCGTCTTACCTTCTCTCTCTCTTTTTTTTTTCTTATTCTTTTTTTGCTGTAAATTTGTTTAAAACCTATGTTCGTGAATCTGTTACAGATGTCTAATTATTAAGACTGGAAGCTTCTTCTCAATAATGCTATCTAATGATACCTTTTTTAGAGTCGTGACTTCATCTAATCACTCACGTGAACTATTTATTGAGTCTATGCCAAGTAACTCTATTTGTTCTGCTACAGGTTTATCTGGGGGAGCAGTTTGTGAATAATCCTACATTGTCCGACGTGACATTTTTGGTTGAAGGTCAGAAATCTGCCCCAACTTCTTTAAATTGTTGCTGAATGATATCTTATTTCTATCATAACTATGTCTATCACCATCACCAGGAAAACAGTTCTATGCACACAGAATTTGTCTGCTAGCTTCTTGTGATGCATTCAGGGCAATGTTTGATGGTGGTTATCGGGTGAGCAATATGCTTTGTATTTCAATCCGGTTACCCTTTGTCTTCAGCCTGCCACATAAGAGCATATATCATAAAATAACACATATATATTGCAATTATGGAGCATTTTCTTATGATTACTTTTGTAAATCAAACTGATACTTGACCTTTTGATTGTGCAGTATTTATATTTTTTTTTATTTTTGAAAACTGGTTGCAAGCACTCGTGTTTAGTTTCTTGTTTTAACTTACTAGAAACTGAAATTTCTTAAATGGGCTGCAGGAAAGAGATGCTAAGGACGTTGAAATTCCTTATATTAGATGGGATATTTTTAAGTTGATGATGAGGTGAGATACACATTGAACTCTTACCTTCAGTAGCAAATTGCCATTTATTTCTCATTCCAAGACAAATGTTAGAACCATCTTGTTTGTTTTGTTGTAGATACATTTACACAGGGTCTGTTGATGTCAGCTTAGACATTGCCCAGGAGCTTCTAATGGCTGCTGATCAGTATCTGTTACAAGGTCTAAAACATCTATGTGAATATGCCATTGCACAGGTAAATATAAATACCTGATGACAAAAGCTATATTTAAATTTTTGGACATATTCCCTTTTTTTTGTGTTTTTAATATTTATCCCTCGTATTTGTTTTTCGTTTTTTCAGGATATATCTGTGGAAAACGTGTCTATAATGATTGAGTTGTCGGAGGCATATAATGCTCTCTCCTTGAGGCATGCTTGCATCTTATTTATCCTTGAAAAGTTTGACAATTTATGCAACATGCACTGGTATGTTTTTTTGACTTCGCTTGGTTATTGTTTGTCCAACACTTTGTAATCAACCTGTGATTTTGATTACATTATTTAACTACGGTTAAATCACAAAATTTGCTCGGGTTTACCAAATTTTTCGAAGAAAAGGGAACAGACATTGGAAAATTACACCAGACCTTAGTTACAGTGGTTTATTTCACCTTACTTTCTTGATTTATGGTTATATGCAGGTATCCTTTGCTTATCCAAGGAGTCTTGCCCGAGATCCGAAGCTATTTTGTTAGACTTCTGATTAGGCCAATTAGTGCCCAATGAACGTACCTTGATTAGGGAGGTTTTTAAGAAGTTTTTATGCCATCTCTGTGTAAAGTATTGATGATATGCCAGTGAATGTAAAGGAATTTGATTCATTTTTTGGTCATTGAGAAGGAAGGTTTTTTGGTTGGACTTGGACATAAACGAGCCTATTTTTAGTCATTAATCTTTGCTTGAAAAGCTGGATTTGAATTTGGTTTTCAGTTACAAAATAAGGATATCAAATATCCTAACAAATAAGTAAATAACTAATTTGGCAAAAAAGATGAAGAAAAGTGGATTAAATCTTACTTATAGTAAGTTAATCATTTACTTTTTAAGTAAAAATTACTATTTATATATTTTTTCAACAACCTTTTTATATTAGTATAGATAGCCGTTGGCGTAAAAAAATCAATAATTATATGTGAAACCATTAGTACTTATATGCGTGAAAAATATATATTATGAACATTAAAAAAAAAAAAATAATTAGACAATACTT